TCTTGGTAGGAGCTGGCTACTTATGGCTTCCTATGATGCTGCTATCGAAAATTGTTCAGACATTCATATTAGCCGACTTTTGTTACTATTACATGAAGAGGTAATTAATTACTAAAATACCCTTTCCCCACTAAACTTTTTCTCGAATCTCTCGTCTTAATTTATAATGCCGGGATTCTATAATGTGTTTGATTAATTTCTGCAGTGTGATGATGAATGGCCAACTTCTGACCACCATGCCTTTGCCTGTCTGAGAAAAAAACAAATTATGAAATTAAGAGAATGTATTAGTTAATTAGTGTACATTTTTTTTTTGTTTTAAGGATTCTAATGTTTTTCTTAATGCATGAAAATGGATTTACTGCACTTATTATGTTTGTGAGTTTGCATAAATTATATTGTCTTATTTGAATTATACAATTCAGTAAAATTCACTGACAAGGAAATCTACTTATACGTGTAAATTTTAGAAGCTTTCGTCGGAATTACTATAGCCATGTAAGTAGGGGCGTAAACGAGTCGAGCTTGGTTGTTTTGGCGAGCTCGAGCTCTTCGAGTATTTGTTAATGGGCTCGAACGAGCCGAGCTTGTCGAGGTCGAGCCATTTTGTGTCTTTTTTTTTTTTTTTTCAGTTTTTAGTATTATTAGAATTTTATTATTATAAATTATGATTAAAAAATTTGAAAAAAATGACATGTAGTTTAATTTTTTTAATTACTTTTATGAATTTATAAAAAAAAAATTATGTTAGTTATTTTTAAAATAAAAATAAAGAAATAAATAAAATGTTTAGAAAAAGCTCGGGAGCCCAAGAACAACTAAGAATGATCTCGGGCTCTATTCGTTAGAAAGCTCGTGATCGAAAAATTCGAGTTCGAGGTTTCTCAGCTCATTTACACCCATGGATGCAGGTATAAATTATCCTATTATAAAAATTAAATTAAAACTTGGATTAGGTTAAATCCAATCACGATTTATTTCCAATTTTCATTGATAAATAGCAACTACTCCATGAAAGGAAAATGAATAATAAATAAATAAAGCAATCAATCCAAAACATAAATTCTCTCTCCACTTTGCATTGATTGAACAAAATGAAATTGAAGCAAATAAAGTATTTAAAGTAGTTTATGGTATTTGAGAATTTATTTATAATAATTTCTTATAAATAAATTTGTAAAAGTACGAGGACAATTAATATAGGTTTTATTATTACCATTCACACACATGCAATGCAATACAATATCCATGCATATAAAAGCGTACAATGTATTAAAAAATCTCGATTAATATAGTTCATGCTCGAATCGAATCGAGTCGAGTCGAACACATAGTTGCACCAAAAAAAAAATCGATCTTTAAAAGTTGTATTCGATAAATAATCGAGTTGGACTCAAACGAGGTTTAATAAGCCGAACACAAATGATAAAAAAAAAAAAAAAAACTTATTTTTAAAACAATTAAAAAAATAAATATATTCTAAACATATATCACTAATAATAAAGAGTTGTACTTCTATTTAAATAATTTTTTTTTTCACACAAAGATTTGCTTTGTGCTCTATTTCTATTGTCTGCCCATAAATCTCTAAGAAACCCTTTCTCTCACATCTCTCTACATTCCTACTCTTCGAGATCCACCATTCGTCCCCAATTTCCGCCGCCTAAACCCTAGTTTCCATCGCCGGAGCTACTGGTATTCGCTCGGTAAGTAGAGAGAGAAACAAAATCGACTCCGGTTTCTCTCTCGTGCTCTGTTCAGGCGCATCTGTAAAGCTTTGAGTCCAGGTATCACCCGATCCGACGATCATTTACTACGTTCACGAAATTGTTATTAATGCCTATGTAGTAATATTTTGATCTGATTGGTAAATAGAGATCTGTGAAGATAGGTTTTTTTTGTGTGTGGGAATGTGGGTGGCGTATTTTGATGCTGTTAGGGTTTTTGTAGGTCTGTTAGTGAGATCACTGACCGATAATGGCGTCGGCGGCAGAGGCAGCGGCAGCGGCAGCGGCTCAGCTACCTGTTTCTGCGCAAGTTGTAAGTTTTTTTTTTTTTTTTTCTTTTTTCTGTCAATTATTTGTGTTTGTGGTATTTTTGTTCTCCCTGAAGTTTGGGTTTTTTATATTGTTGATTTAACTTGGTCCTGCATTTTGGTTGAATAGGTGGCAAACGCATTTGTGCAGCAGTACTATCGGATTCTGCACCATTCGCCAGGAGTCGTTCATCATTTTTATCAGGACATAAGTAAGCTTGGTCGTCCTGAGGAGGATGGCTCCATGAGCATCACCACCACTATGCAAGTAATCCCTCTCTCTCTCTCTTAAAATTAGAGATTAGGCAATGCCTGTGGATATTTATGGAAAATAATTCCCAGTAGGTAAACATTTGTTAGATTTTAATTAAATAAGTATAAATTAAAAATAATGCATCCAAAATATACTACTGTAAGTCCTAACTGGAACTCAATAATATTTCGTCTTTTGTAGGGGGGCCAATTACATTAGCATTTAAATTAGAAAAATAAAACCTATTAAAAATAGCAATCTTTTTATTTCTTTCTTTTCCTTTTTTGGGCAGGCCAGAGTCATGCACACAATTTTAATTTTACATGTAATAGATTTCTATTACTGCTCCTTAAGTTTATTTTAGGAAAAAGATTTGTGTGGCTACTGGCTAATGCAAATGTAATAAGAATAGGAGGGTTAAGAATTCACTGGTTCTTTTCTGTTATGAGAGGGAACATACTTTTTCTAGTGCAGTTCTGCCCATTTTTGTGCTACTGTTCATTTGGGGTACGAGTTTGGATGGTCTGATGTTTGTACATTAATTTGCTTGTTGGCTCATTAAAGGAAGTAAACGTTGATTCATTAAGTGTTAACTGGTTTCAGTATGAATTTTTGTATTAATTTTTGTGTATCTGTGGATATGTGATGACACAGGCTATCCATGAGAAGATTGTCTCACTCAAGTATGGTGACTTCAGAGCTGAGATTAAGTCGGTGGATGCACAGGACTCATTTAATGGTGGAGTGGATGTTCTTGTAACTGGCTATCTTACAGGGAAGGAGAACACTGTCCGAAATTTTGCTCAATCTTTCTTCCTCGCGCCTCAAGACAAGGGATACTTTGTTTTGAACGACATGTTCCGGTATGTGGATGTTGTTAATGTGAACCCAGCCTTGGTCAATGATGTGCTGGTGCCTGCTCCTGCTCCTGCTGAACCACGTAAGGAACAAGACATAACTAATTTTGTACTTGTCCCTTTTCAATGTTGTCTGTTACCTGACAATTTGTTTTAATTTTTTTTTCAAGTATTAGCAGTTGCTGAACCAATTCAGGAAAATCATGTTTCTGAGCGAAGCACACCATCTGCTGAGGAAGCGATCAGTGGAGAAGTTATCAACCCACCGGAGAATGGAGATGTGCCGATTGCTGAAGAAGAAGTCCCTGTGGCTGAGGTTGTTGATGAAGTGCAAGATGATAGAGAAATAATTGTTGAATCCAGTGCCAAAATTGAGGAACTGCCAAAGAAGTCTTATGCCTTTATCGTAAGTGTATAGGAGCTGTACTAATTCATATGTGCTTATGTTAATTTAAGCCGCCGCTTTTTGCTACACTAGTAATGGTCCAGTACCAATCTCTAACAATCTTGCACATAATATTATTCAGGTGAAGCATCTCAAGGAAAGTGGTGTAATTCTCTCGCCCCCAGTGACTGCTCTTCGTAAAGCTCCACCAAAGAAAATTGAGCAAGTGAAACATAATTCAGCCCCACCAACCGATGGACCAGTTTCAAGTTTGGAGTCTGTTGATAATGGGAATAGCCAAGAGGATGAAGGCATGTAATTCTTAATTTTCTGTTCTTTGGTTGAATTGCACTCTGTTGTATTTCTCATATCATTGTCCTCTCATTTATGCAGCTGATGGTTACTCAGTATATATAAAAGGCCTTCCGATGAACGCTACTGATTCCATACTTGAGGAAGTATTCAAGAAATTTGGCGCTATCAAGAGTGACGGGATTCAAGTTAGAAGCAACAGAGTATGTTCAAATTTATTAACTCCGTGTTGAATTAATGGAGGATGTTTAATAGATTCTTCTAATATCCGCTCAGTGATTAAGAATTGCAAAATCACCGTATTTTAATTCTTCTGCTGCAGCAACAAGGTTTCTGTTTTGGAATACACTCCGGGTGAGGAGGCAAGTTCTCTGCAAAAAGCTCTCGAGGTATGTGGCCTTTTTGAGCTTAGATGCAAGATAACGTCTTATATCAGGCATCCTATGCACATGCATACATGTACCTTATACATACCTGGTACCATCACACCGGGTGATTTTTCCATGTATCTATAATTGAAGGATTTTGCTAAAGAATTAACGAATTATAGTGCATGAAACCACTTCTTACGAGCACAAACCACTTCTATTTAAACTTGGCATTACCTTGATTTTCAGGCTTCTCCAGTGACAGTTGGTGGGCGCCAAGTGTTTGTTGAAGAGAAGAGGTCTACAAATTCCCGAGGCAAGTGCAATTAACTTCTGATTTATGCTCGTAGAACGCAGATAAATTTCCAAACAAAGAGCTTAGTGTTAGCTTGCTACAAATACTACTAAAACGACGATATACTAATCCAGCTCCATCCTAATTCGTCAAGAAGACAGATAGAAGTAACTCGATTTCCTACTTTAATGTAGAACACTTTTCATAATCTCTACTCTGTTTCTTAACAGGAAATAACAGGGGAAGATTTCAACCTGGACGAGGTTCCGGATTCAGAAACGAGGGCGTACGAGGAAGAGGAAATTACGGAGGGGGCAGAGGGGGTTACAACAGGGGCGAATTGAACGGCAGGAGTGAGTATGGTAATAACAGAGGTGGCAATCGAGGAGGATATCAAAGGTCTGAAAGTGTCAACGGTGGTGCAAAGAATATGACGCCTAGGGTTTCTGCAACTGCTTGAGGAGTTTCGGGTAGGATTTATTCTTGTTCTTTTTTCTCTTTTCTTTCAATTTCTGGTATTTATTTTACATCATTGAACGTCTTTGGGTTGACAGTTTTATCACACATGTGAATTGTCTGAAATGCCCTCCCCTAATCTGTTCACATTTTTTCCCGTTTGTGGGTATAGTGGGTGAGTAGATGAGATTTAAGTAGGTTTCGTGTTTTTTTTTTCTTTTTTTTGTTTGGTAGTGTACACCTAAGGTCATCGTCCCCAGGAGGGAATAGATTCTCGAGACATTTAGAAGTTTTTGTATTTGAGGTATAAGTTATGGGGGCCGTATTGCCCTTCTTTGATGTATTGGAATAAAATTCCGCACTTATTTTTTATCGAACTACTTATGGTTTACTAAGGTTAATGGTTTTCGTTCGGCTTATAACATTTGTGTGAACATCTTCGAAGTTCAATTCTAGTTCGATGGCTACAAGATTGAAATCGGTTTCGCTTATAACATTTATGGTCTTCTTGGCCACCATTTGATTGAAATCGGTTTCGCTTTCAAATCGCTTCGAATCGGTAAAAATTGCTTAAGTTTACCAAAACTGAAATAAAACAAGAAAAGTGTCA